AACACGATTTTAACATAGATACGAATTGTAAATGCGACACATTACATACGGAAAAAGCACGAAAAAATCTATCTATGTAGAATGATTAAACACAGAAAATGTTTTAGTTTACATTCATTCTAGGGGAATATCACGCTCCTGAATCTTGTGAGATATTTGAGATATTTGAAATAAACATCAATTGTATGACATATTTTCGAATATTTCGAATAAATAAATCAGATTTTTGTGGATTTTGGAGATATTTGAGATTTTTTGCATTAAATCCAAATAAATACATTTAAATATTATTCATAATCACAAATATCCGCCATATTTCATACGACAGATTCTTAGTGATAAATTGGATTTTTTTGAAATATTTGAAATAATTTATGTGTGATATTCCCCTAGCATTCATTTATCCATTTTGAAAACAGCATCTAGTTTTTCAGTGTTTTTGAGATGAAAAGTTGAACTATGTTGCAATGTCACGCTTCCCAATCCATTGTTTTTTCCACTGAATACAGTACAAAATATTTAATGTTTGCATGAATTTTTACTATGAAATGTCTTTGAAAATTCAATGAAGCACTCTTTTTGTGTTTAGATGAATTTCATAATGTATCAATTGTAACTTATTCTTTCCGAGTTGATTTGGTGTTGACAGATGTGATAGTTCGCAATGTGCCGATCACTCAGTGTGTTGAAATGATGTATGATTGTGTAAATATTCTTGTTTGCAAAAAAAATTAAAACAATAAATATTGAAAAACATAAAAGAAAAACAACCCAAAATCAATAGAATAAGTCGAAATCACATCGAATTTGGAAACAATTGCGTGGAAGCCTAACGGTTTTTGCGCGTTTAAATGTTGACATTTCATAAAATTTCGCCATAAGTTTGTGATTTTATGTTTCAATTTGGAATTTACAATATGGATAGTTCAGTTTCCTAATATGAGATTTCGTGTATTTCTACGATTAAAATAAAAATTAAACTATTGAATGAATTTTTCGTTAATCAACCGATACATCAAATAAAAGCCAAATGAATTCTCTTCCGAATAGATATAAACATTTCGGGAACTTATGAAGTAATTTTGTGAAAATGGACATGCAAATCAGAAGATCGATAGTTTTTGTTACAAATTAGAGTGTTTACGATAGAGCGTGAAACAAATATCGAAAGTCACTGGTCGAAAAATCGACCACTGGTAGTTAATGAGTTGAGTACTGAAATGCTGATAATTTGAACATAATGATAACGTTGTGTTAGATTTACCTATATATTGGCTCTTATTATTATGCTATCATTATACTGACTAATCTGATATTACCGGGAAATCCGTAAATGTCACCACCAACGATTGAGCCTAAGTATTTGAAGATAAGAGCAATGTTGCTTCAGATGGATTTGTGTTAGGAATCGATTGGTCGATTGGCAAATATACGGTCAACCATCGACTAGGTTTAGAAGTACGTACATATATCTACGGGCTTCCTTTGTGATATGTGGTTTATAACACCTTCATCGATTTATAAATAATAATAAATACTATCAAAGTATACAACATCCGATGTAAATTTTAAATTGGCCCAGTATCAATTCAGTTTCCATTCAACTGAAATCAATAGTGCAAATCACAGAATCATACCATATATGTTTGATTAGTCGCGGGGGTATCATTACACTAACAACAACATCATTTCCAAAATGAAATTCGTCCAAAACCTGCTGACACGGAGTGAACGCGCTCACTTAACAAATACACTTGTTCATCTTGCCGGTTTGACAGCTAATGTCAAATCGACTTCTGTTTCAGTGTAGTTTTCTATTCGAACGCAAGCGTTTTCTCAGTATGGTCCGCAAAATTAAAAAAAACAATTCTGCCACGAACCAGTTTCCATTTTGAATCTAACATTTTGTGTTTTTTTTAATTATGGAAACTCCAATATATCATATAAAACCGTAATTTTCTCTCATACAACTCAATTGAAAATGAAAGAAAAACAATTTTTTTTAAATACCGAAAGAAAGCAATTTTTTTGTCTTGTGTGCCAGCGGCATATTTGCACAATTTTATTTGACAGAATCGAAACATTTTTATTTATTTAAAATTCAAATAATTATTATTATTTCACCACACAACACAATGACGACTATGTTTGACACTGCATTGAATACACTCATCAATGTAGTTCCCGTCAAAATGTGTGGCGTTGTTGGTTTGACGTTTAATGATCGAGACTATCGCGGTGTGATTAGTTGGGTGGGTGACGGCGAATTTTATTACGTTGAGAATACAGAAAAAATCAACCGTACTAGTCAAAGTATGCCATTTCTTGTTCATCATGGTTTGCATTTGTTACTAATAACAGCTAATCGCACGATGATAACGAAAGGGCGAACAATTGAAGAGCGCCGCTACAGAGTGATGACAACACCCAGCTCAAATTTGTTCGCGCTCAAATTCACTCCGTCATATTCATTCTTGTTTTGATGTCGAAACAGTGAAAAAAATAATAAAAAAATAAAAAAAATAAATTTGAAATAAAATAAAATACAATTTAAATTAAATCCGCACATATTTTACATGTTTTGCTGTTTTTCGTATGATTTCGCAATAATCCATAATGGTGACGAAATATTTCGACATCAAAACAAGAATGAATATGACGGAGTGAATTTGAGCGCAAACAAATTTGAAATTTGTTCTTTCGCATTCTGCCGATCTCCAGTAGTGGCGCTCTACTATTTCACACTCCATGTTTTACATAGAAAAATTGACAGAATATTGCCGGGTGCAGCTAATAGCGTAGCGGCGCACTAGGGCGGTTGTTTTCTGATAGTGCCATGAAAACTACGCGCCTGTCACTCTTTGTGACTCCTGTCACGTAGTACTTGGGGCGATGTGCGACGCACTGCACATTTTTGTGCTACACACAGCACATTTTTGTTCTCGCCATAGCACATTTTTACATTGACATCAAATTTTCATATCGAAAAGACATTACTCCTGAAATACACATGAATAAACGAGAGGCAAAATGGTTGCACGCTTGTGAATAAATAAAATCCGTAGTTTTATCATTTTTTTCTTCCTTCTTAAGGAAGCTAATAGACCAAGAGCCCACCGTACAAACATTTTTTTTTCTTGTGCACTGCAGAAATTCATAAAATTAACATCTTCCCACAATACTCTAACAGAAATGTACCACTTTTTCCAATGAAATTGGGCGGATCGCTTTATTCACGGCTTTATTCGCGCTACGCGAAAAAGTATACTTTTTTCGCACCAGTATCGCAGAAATTTGTATTAAATCTTCATTCGGATCTAACTAACTTATAAATAAAATATCTGCACCGAATAGTGAGCGGTTTGCTTAAAAAATGAAATTAAAAGATTTACACTTCGGATCATTTTGTTCTGAAGGCATTGAACGCACAGCCTCTCTGATCGTCTGTACAAATAGATAGGAAACGTCAAACAAGAACAATAAAGCGGCAACCTGGCGACTGGTTGGAGAAATAGAGAACCATGCACATAGTTTGCTGTAACAAGTATGCGTCTGTGTAAGTGCGTCTGTGTTAGTTTAAACGTTGAAAGTATGACACATTGCACTTAGTCCCCAGGTGCCGCTGTATTGTTTACTATTTTCATGATCAGAAAGACTGTGAACGCACCCAACGCTTGCACTGACATTCAACGTTCGTTAAGTTTGTTTGTACGGTGGGCTCTTGGTCTATAAAAACTGAAGCCTGAATGAAAGAAAATGTTACAACGAACGAAAATAAAAGGAATAAAATATAAAAACGAAAATTATTCAGTTTTTTTTTCTTCTATGATACGTGTTATATTTTGGTTTTGAGTGTGCGAGCGTAAAGCATTCGATTTCTCAAAAGAGATAATCAAAACATAGCGGTATGTTGTTATATCGTTGCGGCTTTTATTGTTTTCGTTGTCACTTCTTCTGTTGTTAATAGATAAATAGACTGTAACCTTACACTAGTGTCAATGTCACAGTCTAATGAATGGGAAATAAGTCCGTGCTACGTATAATGAGGAAATAAATTCTAGAAGTTATATCCATTAATTTTCAATTTTCAGGAGCTATTTACGTAATGTGTGGAAACCATTTCTAGAAATTATTTCCTATGAAAACCAATCAGGAACTATTTCAGTGTAGCCCGGACTTATTTCCCCAGGAAGTACCCCGTAGCGGCCCTAGAAATTGCAACAAAGTGCGCTTTAAATGGAATATATTCAGCAATGAATGCTCTAACGGCATCCCTACGGTATATTTCGGAAGTATAAGTAAATGCTTTCGTCATAAGGTTTACCCAAGAGGTGGAAATGGTATTTGTCAGATAAACTTCATTCATGATTCAAGTCAGTGATCTTTCGATATTGACAAAAGCAATGCAAACTGAACTCTGAAAGGTTTTGGATTTGCTGAATTTATTACCATTGCGCTTCACTGTGTTGAGGAATTGGAGCATCGTCATTGTATATCATCGTTACTCCTGAATTGCAAAATCATAAATTCAAGAAAATTCAAACAATTTCAAACAATTCCATAATATCTTCAAGTAAATTTATCATATCGGATTTGAAAATTGTGGACACTAGAAGAAGAAAAAACCACTTTCGAAGCCACTTGTTGAACACAGCGTTATTATTAATCGCTTTGTTTGTATACTGGTGGTTTGGACGTAGCTAACGTACTTAAATACGTCGAGCAGTCGAACACAGACTAAATATATTATGTGCATTTCAGGAGTAATGAAAACTGTTCATTGAATTTCAATAGTGGATTCATCAAGGATGATTAATGTTTTATTGTCTGATTTGTGTCACAAATATATATGAATCACTATTACAATAAAAAAAAAATTAATTAAAATGATGTGAAAATATAACCGGGCGTGTTATGAGCTGATGTCCGCAGCACTAACTTACGTCAGCTGGTGACGAATATGCGTTGCGTTGTTTTAACGCATTTGCAGTGTAGAAACGAAATGGTGAGTGAATCATGATGCAAAATATGGTAAGATTAGAAGATCCGTTGTCCATTTCCTGCAATGACTTCGCCAGAACCAAGTGTTTCATCCGAACAAAAGTAATGTTGTTGAATTGAGCCATTGGTAAGGCGAATTGGTGGGCTAGGATTACGTGATGGAACGTTTGATGTGCCGGTTGTTGTGGTCACAGTTGTTGTGAGTTCAGAAACTCTTTGGCATCGAGTTGTAAGTGTTGGTTGAGTTGATTCGGATGTTCGACGATCTCTCAACCTTCTCATACCGATACCACTATGTTCTAGTTTCAGTTGTGCATCCAAGTCTTTTGTTGCCGCACAAGTACATGCCTTCAGGAAGGAATTCTTGAATGAATCACTGAGAAACGCGTAAAGAATCGGATTCATGGCACTATTCGAATAGGAAAGCCAACAAACAAATAGAAATAATGTAACTTTCAATCGTGTACTGCACATTTCGATTGGTGAATTGATAAGAGATACCTGGGCCACCCAGTATGGTAGCCAACAAAATATATAGACGGTAATTACTGTAAGTACTAGTTTGGTGACTTTACGGTGAGATCGACGCTTCCCTTTTGGCCGATTCGTTTTTTTTGCAACGGTTCGCAATTTTTTTATAACTAGGCAGTAGAATAATAGTATAAAACACAATGGGATTATGAAGCCAAGAACTAGTGAATAAATTGTGAATGAATATAAGCCTGGCCAAATGATAGAGTGGCTGTCTGGCCAAATGATTGCACATGTAAAACGGCCATTCTGCTGTTCCAATACATTCGCATAAATCATTATGGGTAACATGATCAATGCTGAACAGCACCAAGCTATTAGTGAAATTACCCGGGATACACAGGGTGTTCTAAACCGGGGCGAGGAAATGTGATGACATATGGCTATATAACGATCGGCTGACATAATAAACAAGAATATCGACGAAGTAAACTGTGTAATCGATGTACTAACCAAATATGCTTTGCACATCGCACCACCGAATACCCAATGGCCCATATTCATTGTGGCAATCAGAAATGGAATTCCGATCAAGAAGCATTCGTCTGCAATAGCCAAATTCAAAATGTAGATGTTCGTAACCGTTTGCAATCTTTTTTCTCGCAACACCACATATATAACTAGAGTATTGCCTAACAATCCAACGCAACCTATGCAACAATACATGACCATGAAAAATATATTTGCCATTGGCATATGATTAGGTGGACAGTCGAAATCTGGATAGGTTGAAGAGTTTGTTGTGTTGACAGCAAATTCTGAAAAAAGTTCCTCACTAATATCGGTTGTCCCATTGTAATCAGCAAAATAGCTAGATGTTGAGCTTGAGTTACCGCTGTACATTATTATAAGTGGCCTACTGGTGCTTAGTGGATTCTTGTCAGATATTATTGAATTTTTCTACTTATTTTCTCTAATAATTTTCTATGTTAACCATTACATTTGAGTCTTAATAATTTCAGTTATTTCATATCTCGACTTCCGGCTATTATGTTGTAACATTCTTGAATACTCTAATCTCACATAACTTTGAAAGCCCATACGAGTCTCAACGAATAAATGACTATTAGAATTTGATTTGATTAAACGAACATTCAAAGTCTTAAGAACAGTTTTATGGAAATATTCGGACGATTCTTTTGCTAAAGCACACATTCAATATAATCTAAATGTTGAACGTTCATTATGTGGTGAAGTGTTTCCGCGTTTCCTGATGCATTTAATGTGCTATTAATCACAGCGCTTATATGCTTTCGAGATGATGGTGCATAGTAGATAACATGTGAAAATAACAATCAGCAACTATCGAATATAAATATGAAAAAAAACAAATTATCAAGAATTCCTTTTAATTCATTTAGACAAATGTTTGTATTTATTATTTCCATAGATTAATTTGCATTATTTATTTATTTACATTTTCAAGATACTGGAAAATTCACTTACCATCATGTATTTCGCATGCGGCGTGCTAACTTCACGACTGCCAACTAATTAAAATATAGACTTCACTTTTATTGACCACTGTAACAAGAATAAAATCGAAATCGAAAAATTAATAGAATATTAATATGCAATAATTCAAATTATCACATTTTTTAAATTGAGAAGATTTGTATATAATATAATAAGAATATCCGAAAAGCTTGATTTTAGATGTGAAACTTCACTTTAATTTATTCTCCTTGTTAGATTTAATCAAAGTAACCACATAAAATAAATATAAAATGATTATCAGTTCAATAAAGTTCTTCAAACCTAAAACATCAACTTTATTCTATTCTACATTGGTTATGGGCATATGGAAAACGAAGTTTTGGATTCTTTAGATATGGATGAAATAATAGAAGAATTTGTTTTGTTGAAGAACCGAAGAAAAATAAAGTGGTTATCTAGATTCAATTCAATATAAGTTAATTAATTCTACATTTTAATTTTATATGCAACATGCAGCAAAAAAAAATAACAGTAGGTATCATTGCTGTGCGCAAATTTCCTGTATTTATTTATTTTTAATGTGAGCGGTAGCGAGCGAGATTTTTTTTCAAAAACAGCACTTTATGGGGCACCATAAACAGCTTTTCAGAGCATGATTATTTTTCTTAGGGCACCAAAACATCAACAATTTTTTTCATTTTCTTTCTTTGTGGTGCCCCCAAATGCGTGGTACCCTGAGGCAATTGCCTCAATCGCCTCTATAGTTAACGCGACACTGATACGGTAGGAAATAAAGGTGTCAACGAACACGAACAGTTCGAAAAAAAGTCGAATTTTGTTCGTTCGTTCGTTCGTGGGCGCTTCAAAAATTGACGAACGTTCGTTCGTTTGTTCGAAAATTTTTGGATTGTTTACGAACGTTCGTTCGTTTGTTCGGAAATTTTCCACGAACAAACGAACACGAACATCGCACTGTTCGAAATTCATACAAAAATTCGAACGTTCGGAAAATTTACGAACACACGAACAATTTTCCACTGTTCGAACCTTTTCATTGATTTTCGAACGTTCGGGGAAAATTTTTCCATCTTCACAAGGAATATTTTGAGCTCAACTCAATTTAATCGTTGCAACGATTGGCCACACACTCGCACGGAGGTAAAACATTGCTGTTTGGCAATCGTTGCAACGATTACAGTGATCGATTGAGATAGCTCGGCAACGATTAAATTGAGTTGAGCTCAAAATATTCCTTGTGAAGATGGAAATATTTTCCCCGAACGTTCGAAAATCAATGAAAAGGTTCGAACAGTGGAAAATTGTTCGTGTGTTCGTAAATTTTCCGAACGTTCGAATTTTTGTATGAATTTCGAACAGTTCGATGTTCGTGTTCGTTTGTTCGTGGAAAATTCCCGAACAAACGAACGAACGTTCGTAAACAATCCAAAAATTTTCGAACAAACGAACGAACCGAGTCGGTGTTCGTTGACACCTTTAGTAGGAAATTAACAAAATGGAGAAATTAACAAAAATACAAAAGCTCAGTAACTGTAACTTTTGATAAGTTAAAATTAAAGAAAAGTGATATAATGCGATTTATATTCGACGGAGAAATGAAAAGCGTGTGTTTCGTATTCTATGGTCAAATTTGTTCTGTCTGCTTTATTCAATATCACCTTGACAATTGGCAACCATGTCATTGCAAATGTCATGTTGCCAATTCGCTAATTCGCCAATTCTGTTGGTAGGTTTCTGAAACCTAACATGCTCCCGGCATGGCAAATTTGTTTGTTATGAAGGAATTAATATCGTTATCAAGTAAAGAGAAAAAAAAATAAATACAATGCTTAGCGTTACAAAATTTACAACATTTCAAGTGAAAGAATAAACTAAGTTGAAAGAAAGAAAAAAAAAATGAATTTAGATTGAAATGAAAAGTGGATTGAAAAAAAAGAAAAAAAATTCTAAGATGTGATGAGAAAAAAAAATTGAAATTGAATCGGAATGAAATTCGCACATTGAAATAGAATAAAAAAATTAATTTATGATGAATGAGTTAAGGATGAGCAATTGAGGAGCCGCTTCTTCCTGTCTCTGGTTGCTGAAATTGTGCCGAAAGAGAAAGTGATTAGAAAATGCAAATAGTTGGCTAAATATCGTGTTGTGTCGGAATAATACACAACTTTGTGATCGGTCTTTTGAGCATGCCGTGCGGAGTTCGAATTGAGACGGCGCGAACTAATTTGTCCGCCCCAGGATGAATTCCGATGATACGACCCATTGGCCATTGATTGACTGGGAATCGATCATCCTTGATGAGAACTAAATCGTCGATGTTTAAATTCGGTTGTTGATCTTGCCACTTTGTGCGTACTTGCATTGTAGATAAAATATCGTTGCGGAAACGTTGCCAAAAATGTTGTACCATTGTTTCCATCATTTGATAGCGTTTGACTGGATTACACGATGTCGGTGGTTGTGGTCGCGCCAATAAAGCGCCCCCAATGAGAAAATGACCTGGGGTCAAAGCATTGAGATCATTAGGATCGTTGCTTATCGGTGAAATGGGGCGCGAATTTAGCACAGCCTCAATACGTGCTAAGACTGTAGAGAATTCCTCGAAGGTGAGTTTAGCTTGGCCAATGATCCGACAAAAATGAAATTTCATTGACTTTACTGCGGCTTCGGCCAAACTGAAATGCCATTTGATGCCACGATTATTCAGATGAGGCAAAACTTCTTTGGACATGAGCATTTCAAAATCCGCTTGAGAGCGTTTCATATCATTATCAGCGCCAACAAAATTTGTGCCGCAATCACTGAAAACGTCATGGCACAATCCACGTCGTGCAATGAATCGATCGAACGCGTGAAGAAACGTTTGTGTCGATAAATCACCGGCGAGTTCTAAATGAACTGCCTTGGTCGCCATGCAAGTGAAAACTGCAACATAGCCCTTATATGATTTTTGACCTCTGCCCCTTGATGTACGAATATCGTAAGGACCGGCGTAATCAATGATCGTAGCTGAGAACGGTCTTGATTGATCGTTCACACGATGCGATGGCAATGAGCCCATGAGTTGACGAGATAAAACTGGTTTATTTTTAAAACAAATAACGCATTTTTGAATGAGATGACGAGCAAAATTGCGCAGATCCAAGATCCAAAATTTTTGGCGAATTTGATTTGAGGTGACTAACGAGCCACCATGAAGTGTTTGCTTGTGATGAAAATCAACGATTAATGAAGCAATGCGATGCTTTGAAGGCAAAATGAGTGGAAACTTTTCGCTGTACGGAATGAGTGCGTTGGTGAGACGGCCACCTACTCGTAGCATACCACTGCTGTCGATGAACGGTGCGAGACGGAAAAGTTTGTTTTTTCGCGAAATTGGTTCATTATTGGTTAGTGTGTTGAGCTCAGCACCAAAATGCTCGTGCTGCACCCAGCGAATGATTGCAATTTCAGCTCTTTCTAGCTCTTCAACTGTTGGATGTGGAATGTTATTGATTTTGTCCTTGATTGAGAGTGATGATGTTATGAAGTGCGGTTGACTGCCTTGTTTTTTGAGTTCGATGACATTTCGCAATTTTTGCACGTACCTGAGGAGATAAGCTATGCTGTAACGAAGACGATTGAAATTTGAAAATCGAAACAAAATGGAATCAAGTCGCGATATTTCGTTGGTTGTTACGTTTATTGATTTGAATTTCGAACGAAGTTCTACTGGATCATCGTTGATGATGTTGAGTGGAGAATTCGGCCATTCATTTGCTGGCAATGATAGCCAGGCAGGACCATTCCACCACAGCGTTGAATCACGAAGCTGTGTGACAGTTAAGCCACGACTATTCAAATCAGCGACATTGTCATTTGAAACTACGTGTCTCCAATCTTTGATATCAGTCGATGTGAGTATGCGGTGGATGCGATTCGAAACAAAAACTGCCCAGCGATTAGGATCGCCTCGAATCCATGACAATACGACTGACGAATCGGTCCATAAAAATGTTTGATCTATTTTGAGTCGAAAATTTTCTTTGACATATTCCAACGCTTTAACCGCTAGAACGGCGCCACATAATTCACCTCTTGGAGTTGATAGAGGTTTGCGAACGGGGTTTACTTTACTTTTTGCAATGAGTAAACTTACGTGAATTACATTCGATGAGTTGATCGTTCGTAAATGAATAGCGGTAGTGTGTGCTTTGTTTGAGCTGTCACAAAAAACATGCAATTCGTTGCGCTTGCTTTCACTGGTGGTACAAATCCAACGCGGGATCGTTAATTGATTGATGAATTGAAATTGCTGCAAGATATCGCTCCATTCGATTTCAAAGTTCGGTGGTAATGCCGTATCCCATTCCAGATTAGCCTCCCACAGCTTGTTGAGAAACAATTTTGCTTTCGTGACAAACGGATTTAACCAGCCGAGTGGATCGAATAGGCGGGCTATGATTGATAAAACCGTTCGTTTGGTGCGCGTTGACTGACAAACCGAAAAATTCACGTTAAAGTAGAAACAATCCTTTGTTGTTGACCAACACAAACCGAGGGCTTTGACATTATCAACTGCGTTGAGTAAACAAGTTGTGTTTTGTTCATGATATTCTTGTGGAATGTTTCGTAAAATTTCCGTGGAATTGCTAGCCCATTTTCGTAATTCGAAACCAGCGCCGCGTAGCATTTGAATCAATTGATTTGTTAACACGATCGCGTGTTCAATCGTATCACTGCCAGACGTGACGTCATCGACGTATGTTTCTTTCTTTATTGCCGTATGAGCGAGCGGATACGTATCAATTTCGAGATCGGCTAACGTATGAAGTGTTTGTTGAGCAAGGAATGCTGATGGCTTGATGCCGAAGGTGACGGTTTGCAGTGAATATGTTTGTAGTTGAGAGCCTTCCTCCCAAATGAGTCGTTGATAATCGGTATCATCGGGATGTACATCGATGCAACGGTACATTTTTTCAATGTCGGCGATGAAAACAAATTTATGGGCACGCCAATTGAGAATGATTGAAACGATATCACTTTGTAACGACGGGCCGGTGGTGAGGATATCGTTTAGCGAATTGCCATTTGATGATTTTGCTGAACCATCGAAAACTTGACGTAATTTCGTTGTGAGACTACTCTCCTTTATTACGGCGTGATGAGGTAAATAAAAATGCTTAATTGAAGCCGGATTTTGAAGATCGTCGTTGATTGATTCGACTAACTTGACCTGATTAAGTTGCTTGTATTCGTTGAATGTTTGCACGTATGCCTCATGAAATTTACTATCGCGATGAAAACGACGCTTTAGCCATTGAAATCGTTTGAGTGCCATTGAAAATGACGAGCCCAATTGAATGGTAGGATCGAATAGAAATTTGAAAGGCAAACGAACCATGAACTTGCCATTAGCTTGACGTTGATACGTGCGATTGTAATGCTCGACGGTCCATTTCTCCTCCTTGGACAATTCACGAGTTGCAGTTACTTCTTCAATTTCGTAGAATTTTTTTATATACTCGCCGATTTCAACTTTGGATACGTGGAAATTCTGAACGGGAAAAGCGTTGACATGATTTTGAAGAGCAACTTCTCCGCTTAAAATCCAGCCGAGCGAAGTGTTTTGAGCAATTGGCTCACCTGGTTGTCCTTTGCATAGACCACTTTGAATGATTAAACCGTAAACGTCACCGGCCAACAACAAATCAATCTGTCCCGGCGTCGCGAATTGTGGATCGGCGAGCGGTAGCGATTTGATATGTGACCATGACTTTGTATTCAAGGGAAACAAAGGTAACTTTGACGTGATGCTGGGCATGACAGCGACGGTGGTTTTGAATTGAAAATCAGAGTCGATTGTTGAGTGAACGTTTATGATTACTCCCTTGTTGACGATTTTGTATTGGGTTTCGCCCATTGGTCGTACACCAACGCAAATGGAAACGTGCGGTAACCTCAATCGTTGTGCTGCGCGCTCGGTCATCACTGACTGCTGAGAACATTGATCGACTAGCGCACGTAATCGTATGAGTTGCCCATTGATATCGGGTACATCGATTAGAGCCGTCGTGAGAAGAACATGATTTGATGCGGCATGCACTACATGATTTGCTGCGTATTGAGTGGTTGGAGATGAATTTAGTTGGCCGTCGATGGGCGGAACTGAAGTTGAAGCAGAATTTGATAGATTCGATGGAATCGACGAAGACGATGACTTGTTTATGTGTAGCAACGTGTGGTGCCGACCATTACAGGTAAAACAGGTCTTTGAATTGCTGCAACGGAGATTGTTAGTGTGACCCAAGCAATTGTTACAAAGTTTGAATTTATCGGCGACGGTTTTGCGTTCATGAGTGGACATTTGGAGAAATCGGACACATTTGCGCAATACGTGCATTGTTTTGAGCTATGATTATTAAACTGTGAATACGTAGCTTCGAATGTGCGAAAACGAGCCTCGAGAAAATCGATGAATTGATTGAAAAGTGGAATTTCACGGGAAACACCGAGCGTTTTTTCCCAATCCAAACGCGCGGAGAGAGGCAATTTTTGAACTAAAATGTGCGTGAATACTACTCCACACTCAGCGATGTTCACACCCAATTTTTCCATCGAAAACACGCATGCACGAGAAATGTCGTACAAATTTCGCAGCTCTGAAGCCGATTCGGATTGAATAACGGTTTGTGACATGAGTTTATCCATGAAATTAGTGAACAAGATTCGTTTGTGATGAAATCTGCGCTTTAACTCGGACCACGCTTCTTCATAATTTTCAGCGGTGATGTCGATAAAACCGATGACTGACTTAACCTGCTCAGTGAGTGCGCCCTTCAAATAATGAAATTTGTGATTAGTATTGAGTTTTTCGTGATTATGAATCAGCAAAAATGAATCTTGAAATGATAACCAATCACCGTATTCGCCACTGAATGTTTGAAGAGTCAACGTAGGCAGTTTGAATGTCGGTTCACTTTGTTGCATGACTTGATAGGTTATGTTAGCTGAAGATGCGTCGGCTGTTGCAGCAACCGTTTCAGATTCAGTGCGGTCAGCTGGATAAAGTTCATCGTACTTAGCCCGAATTGATGCCACAACATTGATATATTCCGATTGAAATTCACTGATGACATCGTTTTTCACGTAGTCAGTTGCTGCTAAATTGGACATTTGCGTGAGTTTTTGATGAGCACTCGTTGCGTCGTAATTTACTGTTGCGAGATACTCAAGGCGAGTTTTGATGTGGTACTTGGTTTTACGCTCATGCGGCTCGCTGTTGAAATTGGCGAGTTCCTTTTTTATGCGATCAAGACGCGACATTTGATTGGCGATGATTTTTTCCATCGTTGTTTTTGCCTCGTCGGCCTTTTTTTCAGCACCTTTCGTCGGAGCCATGCTGATCAATTAGCCAACAAAATGCAAATTCAAATCACTTACCTCTCAACACGATTTCCGGTCCAGTCGTAAAGTGGTTTTTTCTTCGATAAAATCGGATGATTCCTCAAAGGTCCAGTGGATTCGGGTGGTGGATGGTTCGGATGACCAGATTATGTCCCTGAATGCTCGCTAGTTCGTTCCCAGGCTCCGATGATGATGGATGATGATGGAAAAATTTATTTGGCGAAATCTTCCAATGTGCCAGTGCTTATACGACACGTGACAACTTGGTGCAAGTTTAGTTGTTGCACCGTGAATATCACTAAATCGATGATAAATCGAAGGAAACTGATTTAATTACGACGATATTCTTGATGATTTGTGAGATTTATCGCTCACAGTCGAAGGACCATGTAACTTTTGATAAGTTAAAATTAAAGAAAAGTGATATAATGCGATTTATATTCGACGGAGAAATGAAAAGCGTGTGTTTCGTATTCTATGGTCAAATTTGTTCTGTCTGCTTTATTCAATATCACCTTGACAATTGGCAACCATGTCATTGCAAATGTCATGTTGCCAATTCGCTAATTCGCCAATTCTGTTGGTAGGTTTCTGAAACCTAACAGTAACACTAATTATTTCACATGGAAAACGAAAATCGAACTACTTCTCATAAAAGATGAAGTCTGGGATGTCTTGGAAGAAGAACCACCAACAACTCCAGCTAGACTACGAGAGTGACAAGAAAGAAAGATTTACTATCGGTTTGTCTATAGAAGACAGTCAGCTTATTCATATAAGGGGCAAAACCACAGCGTTGGAAGTGTGGCACACACTTAAAAATGTTCACGAAAAATCAACTTTAAAAAATCGTATTTCGATATACAAGAAAATCGTTTCGGAAAAGATGAAAGAATCAGATAATATCAAAGATCACCTTAATAATCTAACTGCATTATTCCAAAAGTTATCTGATCTTGGTGATGAGACTTCAGAGCAATGGAAGATAGGGATGGTATTCGCAAGTCTACCATCTAGCTACTCAATGTTGGTGACCACATTAGAAGCCAGATCAGAAGAGGAACTTTCATGGAGTTTAGTCTATAGTAAACTCCTTGACGAATATCAAAGACAGAAGGAAAATGAAGAAAGTTATTTTAGCAAAAAAGAAGAAGTTGTTGCAAAAATTTATACGAGCGATAAATATACGAGCGACAATCTACACTGCCATTTCTGCAAAAAGAAAAATCATAGAATTGATGACTGTTTGAAGTTAAAGCGCTATAGCGCTTCCTTGTATACAAGGAATTCATTGAAATGAATGAAAAGGTTAAAAATGAGTCCAAAATCAATAATATCACTGAAGAAGACGACAACGATGAACAATTAGTGCTTTCAATTGTTCAAGAAGATCCAAGTGAGCTAAACAAAGACAGTCATGACAAGAAAAGCAATGATTTGGTGGACAATAAATTGTCAAAAATCTTTCACGTATTCAACGAAATTCGCTCATTTAAAATTGAAAATCTAGACAACATTGCAAACAATATCAGAGATCTAAATGAATGGTTTGAGAAACTTGAAACATTTCAAGTAACATTGAGTGACAATCACAAGTCAGCTTTATTGCTAAACAGTCTACTGATGATTTTTGCTCAAACCATACTAAAAATCGAAACTAAGGAAGATCATCTACTATGGAGAGAGACGAAGGACCTAGTAATAAAAGAAGCAAGAAAACTGAAGAAAATCCATGGATTCTCAGGATTTGGCCAGATTCCAGTGCTTCCTTTTTTATGTGCATCTGTAAACACAACCTATGTTTTGTTATGAAAGAAGTGCTAGAATCAGGTCGAATCCTGAGAATCCATGGATCAGCCCAAATTCCATCGGATTTGTATTCTAGGCCATCAAACCAGCCGGGTGTTTACACTCCTTTAGGGAGTGACATCACGGTCCGTTTTGCCGTTTTACCCAGCCGTTTTCGAGATATTTCCATGTGCAAAAATTTAATAATATTATCTAATTTCGACAATTTATCGAACTGTAACATCAATTAAAAATATATTGAAACGAAAAATGCGAAGAAAATCAATTAAATGCAACACCAACACAAGAATATTTCGAAACGAAACATCGCCGCAAACGTTTTTCAAAGTGAATCATGGGAAACAAATTTTATTGAAATGTAACACGCGGTGTTTCACTTTGAAAAATTCTCTGCCGATGTTACACTTTAAAAAAATCTTTCTTTGGTGTTTCATTTAAACATGCTGTGGAAATATGTCTTGTTTTCAATCTCACCCGTTCAAATATAAAATGATTGTCAGTTCAATCAAAGTTCTTCAAACCTAAAACATCAACTTTATTCTATTCTACACTCCTATGATAGATTGAACGACAACTTATGTAAATCCATACAAACACCGCACATGCTTTCCTATGATTGCAAGGTGCATCCAAATGCACCAAATGTCCTCCAGTATTCATTCCCCACGGGAATACTAAATAGCATAATTTCTGCCGAATTCCGCTCAGATCAGCCTCAAATTTGACTTGGCGAATCCGGAAAAGAATTGGAATTTTGTACTGCAGATGCATTGAAAAAACACAACGCATAGAATTCAGACACTGAGCTCAAATAGATATTTTCAGTTAGCTAGCTGATATTATCAAATTACATTGTCTGCCGATTCCTGCCAAACTAGTGCACATATTTTGGTCATCTACCACTTAAAATCTTCGTATAGTCTTCCTCTATAATATTGGGAAGAGAAACTATACCAGACTCAACGATATGCTGTATTAGTTCGTGGCTCAAAGCGCTAAAAAGTAGACCAATAGCACACCCAAATATGGAATATGTAAAGTAGTAGTCGATTACACTTATACGCGAGTTGATTTACATCTGGTAATAAAAGAACGAAAAATGTCACTATTTTCTAGTTACGTTAGTCACTAAATGACCGTCAGATGTCGATTGTATGACGGTTAATTAAATGTTAAATTTAGGTGTGCGTCTTGTTTTTGGATGTAACTTTGTACAAAAATTGCTATAACTTTGGATAGAATTTAGATATCGAGACAAATAGGAGCATAAATGAAAGGTTTTAAGTTTCTTTATCACAGTCTACTATGACATTGAAGCCTGCTTTTATGAGAATTGTTGCTTTTTGAGAAAACAGCGGTACAGATTTACATTTTCGATATGTTATGTTGGAATTGTTTTCTTCTTAATAACGTTATTAAGATTAAGCATAATAATAACATAACATGTTATGCGTTATTTCGGGTGTTATCTTAATAAATCCTATGATTCGGCGATAATAACATATTATTAAGATGCCATTTGAATAACGCTTTTTTCGCGCAATTTTTAACGATCAATTTTCCGTGTTTTGTCTACATTTCCGTGTGTGTAGTGAACAAAAAAAATTG